GTTTGAGGTCGATGTGTTCATCAGATCAAACAATTTTGAATCGATGAACGCAGCAGTTCAAAATATGAATTATAATATGCTAACTATCATATTTCTGATGTTTTTGGTCCAAAATCTGCAGATTGATCCCAAGGTTTCAAAGCTACAAAAAGAAAAAAAAAATCTGAAATTTTGAGATTAAACTCAGAAATGCTCTAGAACAAATTTTTGAAAATTTGCTACTTTTTTCAATATTTTTTCCTAGAAAAGTTCCGAGATGAATCTCAAAATTTCAGTGTTTTTTTCCTAACAATTTTTGACTTTTAAAACTCGGAAATGTCCAAGTTTTTTCTAGAAGATTTCAAAGGTTTTTGGTGAAATTTTTAATCTTTTTAAACAGCAATGTCCTTTTTTCCTGAGTTCTTTGGAGCAACTTTTATTTCTGAAATTCATATCCCTATTTCTGTGTTTTTGGTGGAAATTTACTCTTCTTTTTATATATATCTACAGGAGCCCTGATACAGTGTTGTAGACGTTGGACGGCATTCCAATTTATTTTTTATTTTTTTGCTTTTTTTGTTTAAAGTCGGAATTTCCCAGCTTTGAGTACAACTTGAACTCAGCATCAGACATAAAGCTTTTTTCAATTAGCTGTGCTGGACCTGCTACAGACTAACACGATTTTCCATTACTTTATGTTTGCCTGCTCAAGAAATCTCATAAAATACAAAAAATGGTTGTTGGCCATTTTTTAGCCAATTTTTATCGAGAGACTGCTATTGATTAAATGATCATATAACTGAACTATATATAGTTCCACCAATAAATAACAAGAGTGTTTTTAATGAAAGCGTTCTCATTATGACACACAGATATAAGGAGTATTGTTTTATTTGAGTTCAAATCTTTAAAAATATAAAGTACAACATGACAAACCCCGAAACAACAGAGAAGTCGCACAAACACAGTTAATGAACAGTGGAGGAGGTGTGGTGCTGAGGTCTGGTGGCAGTTACTGAAAACATTAACATGTTGATAAGCATGAAAACTGATAACTGATGAGAAATCCAGTCATTTGGACCCAGTCAGATTGTTTACCGGACAGAAAAGAAGGTAAAATCAGTAAAACGGTGTGTTTGCTGCATTCTGACAGGAAAGTGTCGTTTTTCTGTGGACCACTGAAGGCAGAAAAGGTGAACATCACAGTGACTGGCTGAACTGCATCGACCACTTCTGTTCTGCAGCTCCATTTGGGTCTGCGTCCGTCCGCCCGGCTCCGGCTTCAGAAGGTGTACGGCCCAACAAAGATGGAAAGTCTGAGGACGGAGCTGCTGCGCTGGCCGACCAGAGGGTGACCCGACAGCATCTCCAGGTCCAACGTGTACTCTCTGGGGCCCGACACGGCCCGGGCCAGAACCAGCATGGCGCTGTAGTTATTGGTTTGCTGAGGCGACACAAAAACAAACCAAAAGAGTATTACAGTCACTGGAAGCTTCTATGAAACGGCCTGCAAACATATTCAGCATTAAAACTGATTAATCTTTAAGAAAACCCTTTAATCAGTGGACATTTATTACACAGAGACAAAATGTTAAAAATAATTACATTTAAACTGACATTTAATAGCTCTTTAGTTTGTACTACACATTAAAACAACTAATTTATGATTATATTTATATAATTCATTGCTGCTTCGTGTTCTTTTAGTTTTAAGTGTCTGAGTTCCAGATTTTGCTTTCTTTAGCGCAACAAGATAAGTGAAGCCACTTTTCTTTAAAATTGTACAACAGCATTTTAGGGTCATTGGAGGTAGTAAAGAAAGGAGTTACTTTTGGAATCTGAAGCTCATTTTTAAGCAGTTTGGTGCAGATTTCACTCCGTGTTTACTGAGGTGTTTTGTTCTGCGGCCTAACAGAGCTGGTTCTTCTGACAGAGTCCTCACCCTGATGTAAAAGTCCCTGTTGTCGTCTCCGGACCGGATGCGGAAGGTGTTGAAGGAGCCGGTCAGGAAGTTGGTGGTCTGGATCAGGAATATGTCTGAGGGGGCAGAGCGTTCCGAGGTGATGGTCATGTACCGGTGGACCACGCTGTAAGGCAAGTCTCTGCAGGCAGGCTTGCTGTGCGGGCACACACAGAGGCTGGAGAAAAACACCTTTTATTATTGTTACTGCAGTTCATCCATCAGCCAGCAGAGGGAGTAAAGTTCTCCCAAAAGATGAGGAAACTGTTTTAAAATCACCGGCACCAACAACATTTTAAAAACTGCTATGATTGAGCAGTTTTTATTTTAACTGCTCAATAATAAACTAAAAAAAATACAATTTTATTGAAATCAACAAAATAGTCAGATTTGTATAAAAATTAACCAGTAAATTGTTGTAGATATAAAATATAAAGTCCTGAAAGACTGCATTTGTATGATGGAATATTAGGTTGATACTAAGAAAATAAAAACAATAAAATTATGAGAATGAAATCACAATATTACAAGAATGAAGTCAAAATAAGAATAAAGTCATAATATTTCAACTTTATTTTTGTATTATTTACTACTTTTTATTCTCATATTTATGCAACTTTTTATTCTCACACTATCTTGGTTTTATTCTAGAAATAAGACTACTCTCGTAATACTATTACCTTATTCTCATAATATTAGGACTTCATTGCCAAAATTTTATTCATGTATTTTTTTTTTCTTGGCATGGCCATAATACTCTGTTGTACATTAGAATAAAACAGGGCCACAGTTTAAATTTTTTTTAGGATTGATTGTTTTCTTATTTGGGCTGTCAGAAATTTGCTTTAGAGTAAAAGCAGATCAATAATTAAATTAAGAATGCAAAAACTTTGCTAATAATTGGGAATCTTAACTGTTTTTTATTAGGACCTTTATTCTCATATTACTACTTTTATTATCATGATTACAATATTTTTATTCTCACATTATTCCGACTTTACTGTCATAAGACTATTAATTTATTATCTTAATATTAATACATTTTCTTCTTGCAGTATTTAGACTTACTTCCAGTAATATTAAGAAGACTTTACTCTTCTGTTATTACAACCTTATTCTTGTAATGTTACAATATTCTTGTAATCTTATGTCTTTTTTCTTAATTTGGGCCTAATACAGTAGTATAAAACAGGGCCACAGTTTCTAAGTTAGTAAGATTGATCTTATTGAGAATGAGTAAAAGCAGGTCAATAATTGTAGTTCTAGTTACTTGAAAATTAAGATGAATGCAAAAAGATATAAATAATAAAATTATGAGAATAAACTCATAATATAACAACTTTATTGTCATAATTTTACTTTACCCATTTTATATATATTTATCTGCTAGACAAAAGTTGCACCTAAGATAACATTTTTTACATTTACATCAACAAACTACGATTTGCTCAGCTGTAGAACTGAGATTGTTGGGGGCTCCCAGAAATCCTGCAAAGTGCCACAAATGGCCCCCGAGCCGCCCTTTGGACAGCCCTATTACACCCTCCTGTGTGGCATGTTGACAGGAGGTGATTTCCACCAGCTTGTTCTCAGTTGTAAAAGTCCTCTTATTGCTTTGGAGAACGTTCAAAAGAAAAGCTCGTAAAGCTGGACTCAAAAGTGGAAAAAGTAATTGGTGTAATTTAGCAGTCTGCGTTGCGCTCGGCACAGGCTCTGATTATGTTCAGAGCCGATGGCCAGCGCATACTTCTCTAATTAGGACAAGGTGTGTGAGTGTGTGTTTGCCGTCACTCACTTGTCCGAGTTGTGGGCGTATGGCTCTTGGCAGCGGTTGGCATCCACACACTGGTAGCGGCCGTGGATGTTGACGCAGGTCTGCGTGTCGCTGCACTGATGCTCGCCTGTTTCGCATTCGTTTATATCTGCAGCATAAAAAAGCAGCTTGTGAGGTTTGACTGTGCAGAGAGGGGTGTTTTTTACTTATTTTTTTTTTAGTTTCAGAAACTCACCTTGGCACATCCTGGTGCCCACCAGCTGGTATCCCTCAGGGCACACACACGAGAACTTCCCGGGTTCGTTGACGCAGCGGAACTGGCAGTGATAGCTGGAGGACCTGCACTCATCGATGTCTGACAAGGCGGGTCGGGGGATTAATGTCGCAGTACGCAACTTATAAAACATATTATTTTACATATTTGTTGAAACTGTCACTACATATTCAGAGTAGAATTACTCTATACTCTTAAAACAAATGTGTTATTATTTAACACAATTTTGTTGAACCAATTCAACACATCTTGTGTCGTTTTCTACACTTCATGTGTTCTACTTAAAACAACTGGACACACAGAACACGTGTTAAAACATCGACCAATCACGTCGCTTCTTGGACTTCCGGAATTCTGAACTTTCCACAAGAAAAAAAGTCAACTGAAGGAACCGCCATTAGAGGACGTCCGTTCACCGGGAAGTAAGAAGTTAAAAATAATCGTTTATTAGATAAACTGTTAATAAATTATAAGCAGAACTTATTAATGAGGATACTTATTTGCTCTTTTTAGTAACTAAGTCAGTCTGTCATGATTCGTACTGCTTTGACTTCGGTCAGTGACTGTTAGCTTAGCATACAACGGTAGTTTTTAGCTATAAATATATTAAAAGACTTGCTTGTCATCTCCTAGTTTAATCATGATTTTCTTACACTGCAGTGGGAGCTAATACACCAGGCTGCTCTTTTAGATCCGCGATTGATAAAGAGGCTTTAGGCTGAGTTACACCTTGCAGCTTTAATGCCTTTCCACAAATAAACCAGGGATAATGGAGGATAATTCTTACCGTTGCAGGTAAACCCGTCAGGCCCGAGTTCGTAGCCCTGATCGCAGCGACACATGAAGGTGCCATAGGTGTTGAAACACCGCTGAGAGCAGGGGGCGCCCATCTCGCATTCATTTACATCTGAAAACACAAAAACGAGCGGCACATTTTACTGCACTGAAGCGTCCAAAAACCAGGATGTCTAACTGAGCTGCTGCCTAGGAAAATGCACTTCGCTGCCAAAGAAGCAAAACTCAAGAGAGTAGGTTTATAGAATAACACTGATTGTTGAAATAGAGAGGATTTGCAACAGGCGGAGACATATTTTATCAATTATTCTTCAATGTTCCAGTTGAAAGCTAGTGATCTCAGTGGCTTTTAGTTATTCTTTATAATAGACGTTTTTCATCTGTCCTCAGTTACTGTGACAGTGGTAATACAGTTTTTATGTTTGTTTGTTTTTTGCAACATTTACAAAAGAGATGTTTAATGACGATTGTTGATTGAAGGAATACCAATGTGGTTCTGTTTATAAAGTTTCAAAGTAAAAAATTAACAGCAACAATTTGGATTATTCAGCCTGTTATTAGTGGGAAAAAAAGTCTAATTTTCACCTTGTTCATTCATTTATAAATGTCACTATTTCAAATCAGCAAGATGAACACTGGTCTCTTGTTTTTTTATGGCAATTGGCAAAACACTGACCATGCTCTCTATGTGTGTCGTTATTGCGCCCTCTACTGCACATGTAGGACACTTTCAGGTCTTTTGCAGTTCACACTGGAGATCACGTACAAGTTGCATATATTTGGAAGTGTGAAAAACCACTTGATTTTATCAAATCTGATTTGATAAAAAAAAAATCTGAATTAAGTCCCTTCAGGCTGCAGTGTGAAAGTGGCCTTAAAGGTGATTGTGTAGGGATTAATAACATTAACTCTCACCAACGCAGGATCGGTTGTTCCCTCCCACCTGGAAGCCCGGCTCGCACTGACAGGAGAAGGATCCGGGGACGTTGACGCAGCGGTGCTGGCAGTACCTGAACCTGCACTCGTCTATGTCTGGAGGTGAGAAACACGGGTCAGAGGGTTAACGGGTTTATTCAGCGCAGCAGGAAGTGATGTGGAGATGGACTCACCAATGCACTCCGTGCCGACCTTGTTGTAGCCGCGGGGGCACTGGCAGTTGAAGGCGCCTAGCGTGTTGATGCACTGCTGGCTGGGCTGGCAGTCGTGCTCGTCTCGCTCACACTCATCAATATCTGTGTGGGAGAAGCAGAACAGAGACGGACTTTAAAGGCAGAGTTAGGCAGCAAATAGTTACATTTACTTAAGTAACTTCATTGAAAAAAATTACTTTTAGCTGTATGTTTTACTTTTACTTTTGTAATTTTATTATGAAGTATCTGTACTCTTGAGTAAAATTTCTGGATTCTCTACCTCTGAATGAAAAGCAAACACATTTTAACCAAAAATTCACCACACGCACGCACGCACGCACGCACACCACACACACACACACACACACACATGCACTTTCAGAAGTTTTACTTTGAAAGAAACTGACTTTATTTTTCTTTTGCCTTAAAATACCTTAAAATTAAAAAAATTCTACTCAACTTTATATTTTGGTCCATCTGATTATATAATTTTTAAATATTATAAAATTATAATATTATTGCTTACTCTACTTGAGCAGACTTTTTACCAAATATATTTTTACTCGTGTAATTTCTTGGACAGCTACTTTTACTTTACTTTAAGTTGAAGTACTCTTAAGTACAATCTTTGAATACCCTCCCCACCTTTGTCAGTGTGTAATCCAAATGTTTTACCAGTTGTGGCTAAAGTACCCAAAAGTTGTACTCAAGTAAAAATGGTACTACTTAAAGTAAAAGTAAAAAGTAGCCATTCAAGAAATTACTCAAGAGTAAAAAAGTATTATTTGTATTGGTACTAATAAAAAAATGCTAGGTTTACAGTTTTTTCAGGGAATAATTGCACACACCTGCAGTATTTTAACTGATATAAACATGATATAAACATGTCGTTCTTTATCGATGTACATATTAAGAATGATCCAGAAGCAGTTCTTTTTGGGCATGTGTAAATGAGCAAACGGTATGGATTGTGCAGTGACAAGGGGCTGGACTCTGCTTCGGTTGCTAGGTAACAGTGCAGTTGAGATTTAACAAATGGGAGGTTCTTGAAACGGCTTGTTTTCCAGACACCAAAAAACATTAGAGGGGCAGTATTACATATTTTCCAGCCATACAGTACCATTTATAGCACAATCAAGTAACTATATTACCTTCAGGTGACTTAAAAGAAATTTGACTTTATTGCCTCAAAATTGGGCCATGGCTCTTTAAAAACTCCTGTTCTTTCTGAAATTCTGCCTTCAGGAAGTAATGACATTATAGCTCCTCTATTAACCCTTTAACAATGTTTTTACCAGAGAAGTAGCTCCTATAATGAGCTCGGTAAATGCTCAGTTTCTACAGGTTTTAGCTAATTGCTGCTGGCTAGTCTGAAGGAGCTGAGTGGGGGAGTCTTAAGAAACTTATAGAAGCTTGGAAACTCCATCTCTGAGGAGGAGCTTTGTTGTCGAAGGCAGGGCTAAGATGGCTCAGGTGTTTTGCACAGCCAATTTGTTGCCAGGTTAAAGGATTTCTCAAACATGCATGAAAGAATCAAAGCAACACTTTAGGAAATAGCATCATAACATGATATGAAACCCAAAAAAGTTGACTAATTCATAATACCACCCCTTTAACTTAATGCCAAAAACGTCTGGATGGTATTTGTTAATACTTTTTAGAAGCAGATGAGACAAATGGAAGCTCAAAAATGTGTAAAATGTGCAATTTTTTTTTGCAGAATATTTTCCAATTTAAAACTCATTGTGAGCCTAACGCGGCAGCTACGCTCCGCCAGCCGAAGCTGAGGCTGCGGCGTTTGGCCTCACTTGCTCCCAGCAGCTGAGAATACCACGTTGAGTCATGCTTGCTGTCTCATGCAAGTCATGTCGAACACCTCCGGCACTAGCAGGTTTATAGCTGCAAGTCAGTTTCTAAAAAACGCAGCAGCTGTCCTCGTGTGAAATCTCCCAAATTCCTGTCCTGCGGGCTCCCACTCACTCACACCCACAGAGATCGCACCAGCTTGCTGCCTCCAGTCCTCACGCCTGCCGCCGCCACCTGTCCCTCAGCAATCTGCGGCCACCAACACACACTCGCTTAGCGATCGCTCATCCTGCGGCCGCCACCCACCCACGCAGCTGTCTCCATGCGGCTCGTAGCCCAGAGGGCAAGGGTTAAAGGCCGGGGTTGGGGTGATGGCGGGCTCCGGAGCGGGGATGACCGACGCAGAGCGGGGGAGGCACAGGTAGCCGCCATAGTGGTTGAAGCACTTCATCTCTCCTTTGCAGGCATCTGGAATGGTCTCGCACTCGTTTATGTCTGCCAGGAAGACACTCAGTCAGAAATCTGATTAAAAATGGATCCGGAGTGCTCTGGGACGTGCAGAGTTTCACCTTTGCAGTGCTCAGTCAGGGGGTCCCAGTGATACCCATCTGTGCATTCCTACAAAGAGCAGCAGAGAGAGAAGACTCTGTGAGAAAAAAATTGGAAAAAATACGTGAGCAGACTCCCTGAGCCAAGGAGTTGCATAATATATTCATTATACACAATAAATCTCCAGTAGTGGAACAAGAGAAATGAAGCAGGGGGTATTCATGTTAAAGCTCTGAGCCTAGGAGACGTAAATCCATTTGAGCGTTTTTAAAATCCCTCCCAAAGCCAAACTGTGCTTCAGAAACAACGTGTTTAAAGGCTCAGTTTGGAAAAACGGTCATTATCACTAAGAGGGAAAAGCACACCACTGTGACCTGCAGTGGAAAGAAAAGCGGAGGAGTGAGGAGACATGGTATTAAATCCAAATTTATTCCCAGCAATGACCGCTTTAAGGTCCCGAGAAGAGACGTTTCCGTGGAACATTACACACAGAGCAGGAAAGGTGACTTGAGGCTTACATTTCAACTCAAAACCCAGGGGGATCACCTGACAGGTGGGCTGCTGCGGCATGCTGTTTTTTTTTTTTTTTTAGGCCCTTCCGTGCAAAAACGTTCTGTCTCGACAGGCAGCTAAACGAGAAAAACGTCATAGATTTCCAGAAGGCATGAATGTAAAACTGAAACTGTTCCTACTTATTTTAGGCACGCTGAAGTTGGAGAGAGAGTCGCACGTGAAAAACCAGGAAGGTTAAAGCAACTTAACATTTATACCCGCCATTTTGTCTTATTCAGAGTTTTTGGTAGAGTTCAGTTGCAAATCTAAATTTGTATTTTACTGTTTACATAAATCCCTTCTGTGAAGGTGGTGGCAGCATCATGTTGTGAGGCAAACCTGGATTGAAACTTGTTAGAGCGGGATGTCCAAACTATTTGTCACTTGGGTCAAAATTGTCAAGTCAAAAGGACTTGCAAAATAATAAAAAAAGAACTTTAATTTATTTAGTTAGTTAAAATCAGCTTCAATCCTTTAATTAAACAAAGTGTCCATCTTTTGTGTTGGAAATGGATGTAAATTATTGTAGATCCTTTGACTAGTCAAGAATAGAACATTGTTTTGTCAATTCTGAGCAATAAAAACAAGAGTTAAGTCACTTTCATTGAAAAGTACATAACCAAGTTTAATTTATTTCCTAAATTTGCTAATATTGAGCTCAGTTCAGTCGTCTTTCTTTTAGTAGAGCTCACAGTTTGCCACATTACAGTCAAGCTTCAGGTTTCATAGTATGAAAGTATTATATAAATTCAAAGAGGAAGTAAATAATTTCAAAATTTGACAATAAAATCTGAAAAGTGTGGCACGTGTTTGTATATTCTGGCTCCATTTACTCTGACACCCTTAAAGCTTTAATGCCTCCTTGAACATTTTAGGATAGTTATATGTGTGATACAAAACATGTTCATAACTTTTTTCTGCACAAAATCATTCTTGAATAATGCGATTTTTGTCTGGTCAGTTCAGCCTATTTTTATCTCCTTCCAGAACGAGCTGTTTTAGGCCTCTTGTCACTTTAAATCCAATTAAGCTGATGCTGGCCATGCCCCACAACTTATTGTTTACACTTGCACATGAAAATGGCTGCCAACAGATGCACAATTATACAACTGCTTTTCCAGCAGCCATTGTACAGCACATACAGCGGTAAAACCAGCTGACCAAACCTGCTGGAGCTCTGCTTGGGTTGCTAGATGATGGGCAGAACGCCGCTAATGTTGCAAGGTAACCATCTGGGCAGTTCCTACTGATTTGTATTGTTGCATTCTGGAGGACTTTAAAGCGAGTCATATTAAAGGCACCATAAAACATGAACTTATAGCCAAAAACTGTTTTATAGAAGTAATTGAGACGTGAATGGAAGCACAAAAATATGCAAAATGCGAGTTTTGCATGATTGATCCCTTTTAAGTAAAATATAACAGAACCAATTACACTGGCTGTGTGTGTTTTAATATCAGCTAGGTTTGTTTGAGAAGAAACATCACCATGAAGACCAAGAAAGATACCAAGCAGGTCTGAGATAAACCTTTGGAGAAGTTTGGCGGTTCATAAAACTGACATGACAGGAAAGGAGCACATTAGTCATTAAGACAGCCAAGAGGCCCATGGTGACTCTAAACGAGCTGCAGAGATCCAAAGCTGAGGTCAGGTTGACAGGACAAATATTAGTCATCAAATTTGGCCGTTATGGAGGATTGGCAGGAAGAAAGTACAGTAAAGTTTTCCACAAGTCATGTAGAGGATGCAAAAAACATATGGTGCTCTGATCAAACACTGAACAAAACGCCATGTGTGAAGCAAAACTAAGATTAAAGGTCATCCTGAATATACACTTCCTGCAGTGAAACATGGTGGTGGCAGTATCATGTATTGGGCTATAGTCTGCAACCTGCGGCTCTTTGGACCTACCAAAGCTCTAATAACTGTATAAAAATGATAAAGAACCACATTCTGATATGTTTTAAATATACATATAATTAAAAGGTTTTTCATGGAATA